CCTAACTCGCTGTTCAATAAGTATACTACTAAAATAAGGGTCAGATAACATATTACAAAAATTGTTTTATTTAAAAAAATCTACATACTACTACACAATATCTGATTTCTTAATCCAACTTCTTTCATCTATTCCAAACCACTTGACGTACATTCTGTTTCCTTTCCGTTTTAGAATCTTTTCAATCAACTGTATGTCAGGATAATGAGTCCGTTGTAATTCTTCAGTATAGAAAGCTCCTTTAATGTCATCACCTTTCAAATCTTGTAGTAAATACGTCACTGGATTACTATATTGAATCTTAACAATTTTAAAAACTTCATTGCTCCAGTTAGGAGTATACCCTTTGGTGAACACACCACGATGTTTAGATATTCTTACAAAGTCATTCAAATGAAATTTTGTGTGTAATGTTTGACTTTGATAATGTGTTTTTCTATTATAAACAGTACGCAATAGCTTTTCCTCATCCGCCTCTATTGGTTTCATACCTGTAGTGGAATGCTTGCGGGTATTATATATTAATAAAATTTGAGGTAATAAATTTAACCACTTAAAAGATCCCTGAACACTAAATTCTTTCCACATTAAACCTTTTAAAGTTCTATTTAAACGTTCAACGACAGATGCTTTCAATGAGCTAAGCGTAATGATTAATTTTTAATTTACTCATAAGTGAGATAAAATCTTTATTATAAAACTCTTTTCCTTGATCGGTTTGAAGGTTTTTTGGTATGTTTGCACCCTTTAATATACTTTTCATCGCTTTAATGATTGAATGAATGAATTTTAATTTGTCACCTTTCTTCAATTTGATTCCCTTCCCGTTTGAGCTATCATAAATCCTATTGTTTACTATAAGAGCTGTGTCCGATGGAGCAATAGTGATAGAGTAAATTACTCCTGATTCAATAGGAAAAATATAATATTTTTTTAAATTATTCAGCGCATAACTATGTCCAGCTTNTTTAGCAAAATTCAATCGGGCTTTTCTTGTACGCTCGTTAATGAACGGTTTTTTCCTAGCTACTCGTCCGTTATAACCCTCTAATTTTATTACACGCCGAATGGTTTGGGGGTGTACGTTCTTACCGTATGTAGAAAATATATCAGCAGCCAGTTTTGGCGCACTTAAACGCGGTTCACACTTAATTTTACGCACAATATACTTTTCTTCTCGTGCAGACAAATTTTTTGGTCGCCCTTTTTGCTTGAGGTATTCTATCCTGCCTTCCTTTCTGTATCGCCGTCCTATATCCCCAACTGTACTCACTTTCATATTTAAAATTTCCGCTATTTTTTTATATGTTTTCCGTGCTACATAATGTTTAATGACAAGTTTTTTAATTTCAATTGACGAATTTTTGCTTTTACGCCCCATCGGTTCGTTTTATACGTTTTAATTAAGTGAAATGACAATTGCATGCCGGGTAACGTCATAGGTAACGTAGCCTAATGCGATTTAAAAAAATAGCGTTATTCTTTGGCCAACTCAACTGCTAACAAGTGTTTCCATTTTTCACAGTAAAGAAAACCGAATATTAATGTTGCGCGAATTTTTCACTGTTTTATGTATATTGTTTGTTGTAGGTTTATTGAAATAAAATTGAAACAACAAATGTACATATTTTAAATTAAAATAGATATATGTACCAAAGAACAAGATACAAAAAAAAATTTTTTTTTTATTTTCTTCTGAAAATTTCAGAAAGAAGAGTTTATAATAAAAAAACCGAATATTAAAGTTACTCACTGTATAACGTATTGAGGTCTACCTCTGTTAGTTGTTGACGTGACCGACCAAATCTCTTTATTTCCCTTTCTCATTGAAGGTAGCTCATAAAAAGACCACTTCCGAAACGGTACGGGAATGTTTGCGTTTTTATTTAAGCCATCTAACAGCTTCATCTTTATAGATGGGCTTGGGTACACATGTTTCGCCAACAATGTAACCGTTTTTACAGTAAACTCTGCGGTGCTAGAATCGGCTTTTGATGTAGATTTATAACAATTGGAGTCAGTACGACTTCTAACAAATCTAAATTTGAAGCGACCTCTCATAACGTGATTATAGTCTCTAAATAATCCGAAAATATGACTTAATGGGATTTGAAACGTGAAATCCTTGTTCGCACTAACTGTAGGCAAATTTCCTTCGGGTGGCCATTTTAAACCAGCTATTTCTAAATAGCTTCTTTCTAAATTTCTAAAGATTAGGGTTCGAATCAATAATGTTAAACCGGGTTCACGTACCCGTTCGATTTCAGTACCGTTATGCTCAAATGCGATATACTCAAATAGATATGTTGGTAAGTTGTGCGTTAGCTGGATAGTATCAGTTGGATCGTTTAATTTTTCTTTGTAATCTCCCTCAATACGTATATAACTTTCGAAGAACGAAAATAAAACATCTTGTTGGTTCAGTTCAATGGTGAATATATCGTTATTTTGAAAAGAATTTGTGGAGGGATGATAACTATGCACCTCTTCTCTAGCGATCGAATTATCCACGATGGGTTCGCGGTATAGATTTAACTTTTGTGTGGACATGATAACCCAACTGCTCGAGAAAACGTCTGTTGTCCGCTCGCAATGAAGTCTTTCTTTTAACTGATCTAGATGTCCTCTTTCCACCTGAGTTATACTGTTTTCTTTTGATAGATGGTCGCTGTTGAGGATCGGCGGCTTTTAATTGGAACAACAGCCCCATTATGAAGTTCGTTTTAATTCCAATCTAATAACAATTTCTTCGCCACGAAAGTTTACCAATTTACCACGCTGATCGAGTAATCTTAGTGTAATGTTCGATATCGGACGATCGGTGTCCACTGATAAGTAAATATGGTTCCTTGGCTCTATATTTATACTGAAACCAGGATCCACAGTTTGAGCGAATTCATATAGCGTGTGAGATAATCTGTTATTGTAATACGAGCCGGAAATTATATTACATTCCACTCGAACGGATGTCACACGTATTATATTTACCGGAAGATCTGATTTATGCTTTATCGATACATCTAGTTTACGATTGGAAAACCCCAATATAGAAGCTATCGTATTTGGTTGAGAGAAATCTATCTCAAAATAATCGCTTTTAATTTCACACTGCAAGGTGTTATTGTTAGCCTTGAGTGAAAAAAAATTTTCAGGATCATCAACCGTATTCAATCTGATACGACGTAAAACCTCTTTTTGTAAAAATTTCTCTATGTCCGTTATTTCATATGCACCAGCAGGAATTTTGATTTCCTGTGGTAATGGCTCCGCCGCTACAATCGATTGTCGGTTTTTATTAATGGGGAATTTTTCGGTAAAGTAAAATTTATCGTTTACTCCTTGTTCAATGTTTGGTATACTGTTAGTAGTATAGAATCCAATAAGACCCAGCGAGTAACTTGAGTTAGGGTCTAATTCTATAGGTGGATAATAGTCTTCGGAGATTTCGCTTTTTGTACTGACCAGTGTGAACGTCTGTGACATTTTCACTCAAATGAGTTATTTCTTATGTTAAGTAGGAAATTTATACATAATTGACCGCAGTTATACGGGTTATCCTTTTGAAAATTATCGTGGTTATACTCAATTAAACATTTTTTTAAGTATTTTAAAAGTTATTTAGGTGGTTTTAGATCTCCATAACTGTCGAAATATAACACTCTATTGCCAAATTTTTTATAGGCTACCCAATGGGTTCCGCTACCTCGGTGATCATCTAAATTTACAACAGCTGACTCATAATATTTAGGACCTTCTTTAGGCAATCCATTTCGCATATACACTCCGCGAAAATTTGGAATTTTAAGTGTTTTAGCGTATTTTATTATATCGAGATTTGTTAGAGGTCTATTAGGTAGCCTAGTTAAAAGTTTTTTTGTTGCTTTTTACTTAAATATAAACCCAATCCTTTTTTATATTTTTTAATATAAAGTCCACTTCCGGTTTCGCCAATCGCGATAGCTTCCATCGCCTTATTGTGTCGTTCAGCTTCTTTCAACTTCTCTTTAGCCTCTTGACCACTCTTCACCGCGCGATACACACCAGCCGCGCTGCCTGATAACGCTCCGAGAGCTGATAGTCCGGCAAATATGGCTGGTAATATCGGTAGTATACCACCACTTGTAATAGGTAACGGGATTGTACGCGGAATTTTAACTTTTTTCTTTCCACCCGCGGATTTAACAGCTATACGAGCACTTTTCAAAGCTAATCTAGCCGCTTCCCGTAAATTATCTGTTGTTTTGGGTAAATCTTTAGCGATTTGCTTTACCAACACGCTTTTAAATGCTATCGGTTTATTTTTTTTATCTTTTAATCTTTTAATTATTTTTTGTCCCTTATGACCCATTCCCAATTTTCGTTTCACTTTCATAGCGTTTGTAACTAACCAAGCTGATGCTTTTTCCCCCAATGTCGAATCTTTCGCTTTCACTCTCTCCCAAGCGTTTTCCTCCAAACGTCTATCGGCCATGCGACGTTGTTCTAAAGAATTATTGTCCGAATACGCTATATCGTGTTCTCTACAAGCCCGATCTAATGGATTTATTCCTTTATCGCCTCTAGCCAAACGTTTCTTCAATTTTGTTCCTGGTCCACAAAATTGATAGCCTGGAACGT